GTTCTTTGGATCCCAGCTGAGTGGAAATGCCATAAAGGTCGATGTAAGAAAGAGCCATTGCAACCTAACTCTTAGTCCACCGGTCAGCTAGTCCACTTTGCACTACACACAGTGGACTGACCGCGCAGTCCTAGTTATTAGTGCCAGTTGTCAACCTTGCAAGCCACGGCTTTTAGCGCACCGTGATAGGCTCAACCGTGTTAGATTGTTTATAATGAGGAAGAAAAGCGCTGAACTGTATCTACTACTACTCCCTGCTTGTGCCTTTGACAATGAATCAGCGACGGATCTCGAAATGTCAGGCAAATAAAAGTATTTTTCCAGCGATCGAGTCGTCTTATTATCAAGCGCTGGACTGTCGACTTCACTCTCTCCTCCACCAACAACTGATAATGGGGTCAATAGTTGAGAGCAGGCTTTGTAACTATGTGCTCTGCATCGGCAAGTAGGTGGAAGCAAACTTGCTGGGAGACTGATTCCTGAAATAATGACAGTAGCAAACACTGCGATGAAGTACACCGTCTTCTAAGATTATATAAATGCACAGCGTGTGAGCGCTAAAGTTCACTGGGTGCCCTTTACACAAAGAAGATGAATAAAATAAACTTCAAAGCAAACAGGACATCAGCAACACTCACGCAGGGCTCCTGACGGTTCTTTTTTCCACATTCCTATAAAGCAAATAAAGGCTTTGAAAAAATTCAAATTTGGTTTGTATGTGTGAAAAGAATATGAGCGGGCACTTCGTGCGCCCCCCGCAAATATGGCTCAAGGTTTTTTGCTAAATTCCTGGTTTCAGGTAATTTAAGGCAAACTTTGAATTCTAGTATGGATCTTTCGGCAAGTTATTTATTCTGTTAAATTATAATGCCCATCTGGCCACATTTTACGTCACGAATGGATACAGCACGTCTGCTTTTGATTATAAATTGATGCGATTGTCCGATTTACCTTCTCAGGAAAACAAATAACAAACGGCCTACCATGAATTCATAGAAATCACAAATCTGCAGGCCATCACCAGCCTCCGCTTGCAGCTCTGACAACTGTCCTTCCGGTCGAATTATTAAGATTCCTTTGAGACAATCCAGGTTGTGCCGTTTGGTTATCAGTTTCCTGGCCTTTATAGGCGTATCACAGATGATGAGGGAAATGTTGGCTAGAAAACAAAATGCACGTTTAGTAGGGCAGTATAAGTTTGTGACTTAATATGAAGCCCCATGCCGTATGGACCACCAATCAATAAGTACAGATGGCCAGCAAACGGCCAAAAGAGACCGAATATGCTCAAAAATGCACGGAACTATTACTTTGTTTGCATATATGGTGAATAGCCTCCTCCCCGAGAGTATCGTACAGCGGAACCGCCACCAGACCGTATGACCAGCAGCTTAGTTCCGAAATGATCCACTAAAATGGGACGAAAAGCAGTCACATTAGGTTAATCAATTTAAAGCTACTCAGAAGTAGCGAAGTTGACAATGGTTTGGGCATGCCACCGACTGATTAAAATTTATTGTAAAAGAGCCTCCAAATACGTAGCGGAACAGATTCTTAGCACAAAAAACTACACCGGCAGTCAGGTTTGCAGAGGAGAATGGAGAAAAGTCCGAAAAATCCACCAACAAGTGAATTATAATTCGGTGCGCATGGATATGATTTTCTTGCCTATAAAACTTTTAATCGTGCATTTCGTTTTAATATACTATAATTATATATTAAGATGATGTGAGCGCAGTAAGCACTAGCAGGATGCGCAGGGAAAACTGCAACGGAATAGCATTTGAAAGGTAGACATCAAAGCAGAAATTCAGCCTGCCATTTTTTGTCAGAATTAGCATACCTCCGGACAGTCCGCGGCATAAATACCGACACAAGCAGGCGTCCTGCTTACAAGTTCATCTATCCGTCGAAGTGCGGAGCCCACACTAAGGACCATTTCATAGACCTAAGCGTTAAATGACCAGAAATTAAGGAATAGTGTGGGAGGAAAAAGTTCTGGGACATTTATAGGCAACAGGCAAATAATTGTTTATACTTCGAGGCTATGCTGTTTTCAGCACACGCGTTACTTTTAACGTTGAAGGCATAGAAAGGACCATACTTAGGTATCCAAGCCAAACAAACTTCGGACTACTCGTTCATGAACGTTCACCGACTGCTAAAGAAAATTGCTGTCCCGCTCCGTCTTGAGTCTCATTTCTCAGGCCCTGACAAGAGACATGGCGGATAACAGTCTTAGGCAGATAGTATTTCCGGTAAAGACAAGGGAGACTAGAATGACCATGTCTGAATTATTACCCGTCGTCAGCCAGTCAAACCCAAACCTAAGCTGTGTACCACCCAAGAATCAAACTCGCGACCCTTTTCAATCAGAGTCTAAGGCTCTAACCACTAGGCCACGAGCTCCTTGATTGTCAGTTAAGCTCGAAAGATTTTGCACTCGTTGATGAACGTTCACCGACCACTAGTTCGAGCCTCGAGTGGTGCACACTTAGGTTTGGATATGATCGGTTGACCACGACTACTAAACCAGGAATTGCCCTTCCAGTCTCCTTTGTATTTGCCAGCAATACGATTTGCCTAAAATTCGAGATATTTACATTATTTATAACATACAAAACCGGGGGCTCACAACACTCAATAGGAAGTCATCAGTAGTGCAGGTGACCATGTTCAAGTTTCCACGCGTCTTAACCCTAACATCAACCCTGGCCCCAATCATAACTTTAATAAAAATGCCGCCTAAACTCTTACCTCAATCTTGGACCAAACCTAATCTTACTGGACGTCCGCGCAAGACCCCGGAGTAGGGTTGGCTATTTCTTTCCCTTCGTCTCGTTCATTTACAACCTTTAAGACTTTATTCAGCCATTGTAGCATTGGGTATAGCCCGCCTAAGCTGATGTTTTGCAGTTTTCAAAAGACTTTCTCGTATGCATTTCGAGCGACTACAGACTATTTTTCTAAAGGTCTAGAAGGCAGCGTTATTTATTTACAGTTGAAACATATACGTTCGTTTGACATGATTAAATAAAAAATGTACAATTCCTCCACCATATAAACATCACTCTACTCTCCGAGTAACTAGAAGTCAGGAATGTTATGACTGCATAGGCAGTTCGCAAAAACTCTGAAAGTTTGAGTATACCTGTCGATAGGAAATCCATTTGAAGGGTCCGTTCAAGCTCGTTCGATATCCCATGCATTGTTTGTCACCTGAAATAAGTGACAATCAGGTTGACTGAGCATGGTATTCGATTTGCAGAAATTTGCTAGATCATAAGTTGAAAGCGTACCCTGCTGCTGGACTTTAGAAAGTAGCAGATCGTGGAAACACTGATAATCTTCCAGACTTCTCACGAGTTCACCATCCCCTATCATCTTGGATGTACGTATTCCTTCCTTCAAAAAAAAACACTATTTTAGGAGAGAATAATTCGAGATAACTAGATTAAAACAAATATGACGCTAATGGCTAATTTTTGGAGAAAATGAAAAGCCTACCGACTGAAAGCGTGAACACAAAAATCAGCTTTACCTCTCCACTGACAACATGTGCGGTGTTATCCAGGAGCACATATCTGCGACAGTACAGCATTTCCTGTAAAATGAAAAAAATGACCTTGCAGTTATTGTCCAACATTTAGGGTGCATTTTGGAGAAAAGTTAAATTAAGATGTAGAAACCGGATCCACAGCTCTGCTTGCAGAAAAGATTGGACGGGGCTCGACGACGGGGATTTCAACCCATATTGCCCCGACTCCGGCAAATATTTTTGCAGCGTGCTCTCCCGTTTTCTCATTTTAATCCCCGATTTGATTTTGTCAAAGCGCAAAATAATGGGTATTGATACTTCGTTTGAAAAAAAAGTAGATTTCGAAAACTTTTTTAAAGATTTATCGTTTGTGTATAAAGACCCTCGGCCCAGATTTCCCCTGTTGCCCCGTCTCTAGCCCTGCTCAATCTAGGGTCGCGTGCTGACAGAGACTACTTTAAAGATTTATTTTAAGGAGCACTAATCACAAACACCACAAACTTAATTTGGAACCAGCTGTTAGCTCAAGTCCGATTAAATACTACTAAAAAACAACAAACCAAGCATCTAGGTACTGGCTTTCTATTGACATTCAACATGTGTGCAAGGCTATTCTTGTAACGAATGATTTAAGCGTAATGTTTGAACGCATATTTCCATAGTTTTAATCCCCAGAAATTTTGGCCGTGTTGATTAAAATGCGGAGACTATGCAGGTTTAAATATGTAAGATAATCAAAATTGCTTGCGCGTAGAAAATTCCTTAACCAAGTGGGATTATTTTCGAAAGATCCTTCAGTCACTTTTTATATAATGTTTGCTGCTGTGAGTCGTTACTTTTACTGGAAGAGAGTCGGGTGATTTGGCTATTACATCAGTAAACGAATGTATGCCTTCCATCGCCTGTTTTACAATCTAGTAATTAGATATAAATCAATTCTATCAGACAGGCTCCAGGGAAAATGAGGGAAAAATCTTGTTTAGAAGATATACGGAACAATAACCTTTTTAGTTATCATGTCAACCCTAGAAGACTCATCTAAATGAAAATATATTGTCATTTATCATACAAAATAACGTCGCAATTACAGCACTACGTTTCGACGATATAAGATATTAAAATTTTCTCATTGATGATACATATACACCAATAAGTGTATTTCTGACAGACATGATCATCATAATAGTGCTGTATAAAGCTACTGTAGTTTTTTTTATTTTGCTGCCAGGTTTCTTTTCATGTATTGACACAGTAGTTTAAATTAACAGACAATTAACATGCAAACCAATCGTGGTTACATTTAAACAGCCATTCGGAAAAGACGGAATTAAAGAGGCCGTTGAGCAGCCGTCAGCAAACCCGTCCGATCGCGTAATTCTGAAGAGCATGAGCAAGAGCCCCGCCTCAACCCCGGTCTTTCTTCATTAATTATGCAGGGTAACCGAGGTTTGCGGATGGCTGTTGTACACGGAGTCTGTTAACAACTGCTTCACTATTTAAGCCTTTGTACAGTTTCTTCCAGATATTCAATCCACGTGCTAGTTAACTAACACCTCTAAACACTCTTTATATATATATATATATCAGTTTAAGAATTCTTAGGCCCATAATGTGTGTCTCCTCGTGGTTTGCTTCTGTCTGTATGAATTTTTAAAAATGTGTGAGTAGCAAGTTAATACACATATAGTTTTTTTTAAAACCAAGTATTGATTCAAATAAAAAGCAAATGATACTATGGTAATAGCTAACCGTATACCGTGTCAAGGACGATGTTTTTAAAATGGCGGTATGTCTATAACCACCAACGTCAGTACGAAAAAACACCGAAAGTAATACAAATCCAATTCTTGTTATTTTTTAATTCAGAGAACATTACTACAAGTATTTAGTAGAAAATTATTGTTCTGCTTTGACCATACATAATATGTACGCACATGTCAGCAAGGGCGAACAAAACTTGGTTATTTACAACAACCAAGTGATCCAAC